TTAAGGTGAGGGAGGCCGAAGCCGACGTGGTACCTGAGAGCGCAGACTCACCAGCACCTGAGGGCGCGGACGCACTGGCACCTAGACCAGCAGCCTCACCAGCACCTAGAGCAGCAGAACCAATGCCCGGGTCGGGCCGGAAACACCGGTAACATGCACCCTCATCACTAATAGTCACAGCATACATGGCAGCAAGGATAGCATCAAAGTCAAGATCAAAGATAGCTACGCCTGCCCTAGACAGCTCTCCCCAGCAGGGGATCTCACTAGCCTCCGGGAACTGCTGACGCCAAGCGTCCGTCAGGCGGCCAAAGCAGCGCTGGGTGGGGTGAGCACCCTCACACTGCTCACCCGCGCGGTCGCCGGAGCGAAGGACGTAGGTGCACGGGCCAAAACCCCCACCACGCTGACGCTGCGTGTACCACTCACGGAGCTGCTGAGGAGGGGGGATGTCCCGAGAACGCTGCTGCTGCTGCTGGCGCTGACCACCCCCGGAGCCGCTCCGCTGCGATGCACCACCCCGACCAGCTCCACCTCCTCCACCACCGCCGCCCCCACCTCCGCCACCACCGTCGCCTCCGCTCCCACCGCTACCGCCACCTCCGCCTCCGCCTCCGCCGCTGCCACCGCCACCCCCACCCCCGCCACCACTCCCACCGCCACCCCCACTCCCTCCGCCGCCTCCACCGCCACCTCCACTACCCCCGCTAGCTCCACCCGCGCCCTTGCCCCCCTTGCCCTTGCTAGAGCGGCGTCTCTCGCTAGGGGCAGACGCCGCACCGACCGACTCAAGACCAACGAGGTCGGCCGCAGCAGTAAAGGCGACAGAGGGCAATAGGGGGGAAGGGGAACACCCCTCAAAGATGGGGGTGCGAGGGTCACCACGAGAGGCTCCTACAGCGACTATGCTCTTCTCCGCTGCTAGGAGGGCCTTCTCTAGGAGGTCAACAGTGAGAGTGGTGGGACAGACTGAGAGGAAGTGGTCCCGGACTACTCGAAGGGAGTCAGGGAGGCCGGTGACTATATAATAGAGAGTGATGTACATGGGGGGGGGGTTCTTGGCGCAGAACTCAGTAGGAAGCGCGGCGCGGTAGCGAGTGTCACTAGTGCGGAGGTGCGTAATGAGGTCAGCGACTGTGGGAAAGGCAGCAAGGTCAGGAAAGAGGTACGGTAGCATGAGGCGGCTCAGTGCAGTAGTGGCAGGGGAAGAGTAGCGTGCAACTACAGCGTCGTACAAGGTCTGAGCACTCTTGTACTGACTAAAGTGCGCGCGCTCAGTGGTAGGCAGGTGGCGACGCACAGCAAGACGTGCAGCAGCATCGCGAGTGGTCCACTGGGAGCGAACAGTGGCATCGGCATCGGCAGCAGGGGCAGGGGAAGCACCAGAGGTGAGGTCAAAGAGGGAAAGACCGTCTGCCCTATCACACTGTAGGAAAAGCTGCAGGTCATCCACCCAAACCTCAAAGTCAATGGCTCGACCCTCAGCGTCAAAAGCGAGAACACTGGGGGTAGCCATGACAGCAGTGGACTAGCAGTACCAACTGTAGGACAGGGGCAGTGCAGTGACAGAAGCGCTGCTCTCACCAGGCAGGGCGGGGCGGGCAGCTCAGCGGTACAGCAGCACGGCAACACGACTGCTCGGACGGCACAGCAGCAACTGCGGCTCCGTGGCACCAGCGGCTCGGCTCCTCAGGCGGCTCGGGCGGCTCAAGCGGCTCGGGTGGCTCGGGCGGCTCGGGCGGCTCGGGCGGCTTGGGCTGGTCGGGCGGCTCGGGCGGCTCAGGAGAGTCGGGCGGCTCGGGCGGCTCGGGCAGCTCGGGCAGGTGGGGCGGCTCGGGAGGCTCGGGCGGTTCGGGCGGCTCGGGCGGCGCGGGCGGTGTAGGGCGGCAGGGCCGCTGGTGCGAGGGGCGGCTGGGCCGCTGAGAAGGGCGGCGAGGCCGCTGCGGAAGGGCGGCGGGGCCGCTGAGCAGGGCGGCAGGGCCGCTGAGTAGAGCGGCGGGGCCGTTGAGGAGAAGGGCGGCGGGGCCGCTGAGTAGAAGGGCGGCGGGGCCGCTGAGTAGGGCGGCGGGGCCGCTGAGTAGAAGGGCGGCGGAGCCACTGAGCAGGGCGGCGGGGCCGCTGAGGAGAAGGGCGACGGAGCCGCTGAGTAGGGCGGCGGGGCCGCGGAGTAGGGTGGCGGGGCCGCTGAGGAGAAGGGCGGCGGGGCCGCTGAGTAGGGCGGCGGGGCCGCTGAGGAGAAGGGCGGCGGGGCCGCTGAGTAGGGCGGCGGGGCCGCAGCGAGGGGCGGCGAGGCCGCGGAGACGTTTAGCGGGGCCGCAATGCGGGGCGACGGGGCCGCTGAGAAGGGCGGCGGGGCCGCTAAGACGGACGGCGGGGCCGCTAAGACGGGCGGCAGGGCCGCTAAGACGGGCAGCGGGGCTGCTAAGACGGGCGGCGGGGCCGCTAAGACGGGCGGCGGGGCCGCTAAGACAGGCGACGGGGCCGCTGAGAAGGGCGGCGGGGCCGCTAGGGGAAGGGGCCGCTAGGGCGGCTCGGCGAGGTGAGAGCCCGTAGCGCGACTCGGGCGGAGCGCGCTTCGGGCAGGAGAAAAAAAGTGAAACTCGATGTGGTGGGCCCTAGGCACAGTTCCCAAGGGGGAACCTTCTCGATACTATGAGAAAAGTAGAACGAGAATGAATTGACTATGGAATGGAAGTGATACAAATATGCAACCCTAGAAGTGTGTACCCCATATGGGCTACCCCACTATTGCCTACAGAACATTATAATTTGACACGAACTTTAGGTGGTTACCTTTATCGCCAATCTCGTTAAGAGCGTGTGACGAACATCGCGAATTTTAGGGCTAATGAAAGTTCGAACTTGAAATGTGAACATGACTCGAGTTGGCGTTGTGAACGTGCGTGAGCACGTTCATGTGAGCGTGTGTGTTTTCGGCACGCACGAGCACCATGCGAAATTGACGACTCCATCGCGAAACATAGAATGGCATTAATTTGACTTGGCGAGCATGTACCGGGTAACATATAGTTCGAATTCTGATGTTCGACCTTGCGTGTGTGATTGCATCTTTGCAGTGTTATTCCCGCAATTTTCGAACTTCGCTACAAGGAAAGTCGAATTCCATTCGACTTAGGTTCAAAAAAAAAGATTCGCCCCCAAAACATGAACTTTGTCCAATTTGACAGAACAAACGCAGCCTAAGACCAGAGGACATCGGTCCGCTCGGATTGTCACCGCTCTGAAACGTACTGCAACATAGCGAATACTAAATAGTCCTTCTCCAGTACTATCAGGTACTTGATGTGAGTGCACTCGCACGTTCGCTTCGCACACGCCAAAGCGCCTTTCATTCCTGTCTGAACGTGGTGTCGGTTCGGCTCTATTGCAGCCAAGGGCCCAGCCATCAAACCTGAGGACCACCTTGACCCAACAATTTCTGTCCATCCCTCTCTACAACAACATCATCGAGGTTCTCAGAGTGTTTTTTTTTTTTTCAGTAAAAACATTGCTTTCTATGGAAGTTTGCTTCCGAGTATATTTTATAGTTCCCACCACAGGGGTTTGACGTGCTGCTGTGCTGCAAACACTGGTGGGAGTGGTGTGGTTGATTCAAACTTTTATACTACCCACCAATATCAGTAGAGCCACAAGACCGCCTCGGCCACAACCAAACACATCGCACATTGCCCATCGCACGTAGCCAGAGCCACTGACAGATGGTTGCCGTGCCACGGCTTGCGCCAAAACTGAGGCACGGAATTTGTGAAGGCCAACCACATGACTGCTGACGTGGTCTCGTATTTGAACCCGAAGCTAAACCGAACAAGGAAACTTGGTTTTTTCCACACCAGCTTGGCTTGTCTAGGACCAAACTGGTCCAGATGTCGTGGGGTGAATGGGCACATCCGACGTGATGAGGCATTGGTTTGCAAGGCGCCGTCAGGTCAGGTCTCGTAGCGGTCAATTCAAACTGCGATCTCATTTTCCCAGTGCGGGTTTGCAAATGCAATCTTTTCGGGCAGCACCATGCGGCTGCCCGTGTTTAGGGCTGGAGCTCCCCTAATTGCATATGGGGTTTATTTGTTTCTGACCGCGGGCAGATTACGACCCCTCAGCTTCTTCTAGTGCGGACTGTCAATGGATTGCATTCGCGAACCGTGCTGGCGAAATTGGATTGCAGCTGAAGTTGTTCCGTCTCGTAGCGCCCAATGTGTTTGTTTGGCCTTCAACCCAAATGCTGAATGCTGGGGATGTGCTTCAAACATTTCCAGTGCTCGATACTGGCAAAACTGCCACATCCCTGAAGATCATGCAAATCACACTCGCTATTTCGCCCCTAACCAACTTAGGCTGCTGCTAGGCTGATCTTGGTCGTATTATGACGATGCGCACAAGGTCAGTAGCTGCCTTAACTTCTCGGCTGCGATGATTAGCTCACCTGGCGCCTCGCTGCGCACCGTAGCCTACAGATTCAGTGAGACGTAGGTCGCTTACTGTACGAGCACCAGCCACTAGAAGGCATTCCAGTTAGTTTCGCAAAGGACCAACGATGTGTCGGCGAGCACCTGTTCGATCGTTTTTGGCATTTCTGTTACCATCACTGCTCCTGATCAACTCTGTGGAGCTTGCTAAACCGGCTGATCTAGAGGACGCGCTCCGAAAGAGCATATTGTTCTTCGAGCAGCAGCGCAGCGGGAAGCTTCCCCCAGATCAGAGAGCCAAATGGCGCGGTGACTCAGGACTGAAGGACGGAAAGGACGTCGGGGTGAGTCAGACGATGAATGAGGTGGGAATTATTGTATGGGACATTCCTGTGAGAGGAAGTTGCTTCTTCATGCCCTCCGCGTTGTCCAGCTGCCAGTTCTGGGTCAAATCTGATGTTCCTCGCTGTTTTTCATCTGCATGCTATTCCTTCCCGTGCAAGTTGTGCACGCAGCGTAGCCAAGGGCAAGCCCATAGTAGAGCAACGGAGTTACTAAAAAGTGTTTCGTTTTCCCATGCCATACCGTAATGCCCTGGCTACGCTGTGCGCACGGCGGCAGGTGGACCTGACGAAGGGGTACTACGACAGCGGCGACAACGTCAAGTACGGGCTGCCCATGGCGTTCACCGTCACCACGCTCGCGTGGAGCGTGGTGGAGTACGGCAGCACGCTGGCGGCGCAGGGGCAGCTGGACCATGCGCTGGACGCCATCCGCTGGGGCACCGACTTCTTCATCAGCGCGCACCCGCAGCCTAACGTGCTGTACGCGCAGGTACTGTCGCGCATCTCACTTGCCTGCATCTCCTGAGTGCCGCGCACTGTGGCGCGGGCGGCCATGGCCGGCGGTTTGCCCATTGTGCCTGTGGCGACCTCGCAGTGTCCATCGCCGCTTGTCGTGCAGGCCCGTCCGTTTAGCAAGCAGTGGATGCGTCACACCCACTTTCCCCCGTGCTCGCTCACCCTCCGGCCTTCCCGCCATCTCTCACTGCGACACGCAACTTATCGGTTTTACCTCTAACTTTCCCTCGCTCTCTCTGCTTAACACCTGGCGTACTGCAGGTGGGCGACGGGCCGTCGGACCATCGGTGCTGGCAACGGCCCGAGGACATGACGACGCCGCGCATGGCGTTCCGCCTGGACGCCAATAACCCCGGCACCGAGGTCGCCGCTGAGGCCGCCGCCGCCCTTGCCGCAGCCAGCATGGCCTTCGCGTCGCGCGACGAAGAGTACTCGAGAAAGCTGATTCGCCACGCCAAGGAGGTGCGCAGGAAGGGGAGAGGAACAAGAAAAGCATTGCTCTGCAAGCATTCCCGGAGTTATTTTAGCAGCAAAAGTAACAGTTACCTTTGAATAGCAACAGTTGCTAGCCCTGTCAGGGACTGCGATCAGCATATGGGGCATGTAGGACATTTGCCGAGTTGCTATGCGACACGGAGTCTGTTCCATGTCGCCCTCCGTCCTATCGTGATTATCCTTGTTCCTTTCTTGTTTGTGTCTTCTCCCATCATCTCTAGACTATAGTTCTGGATTGCATCTTCCTCCATCTCCATGCCGCCGTGCCTCTATTCTTCTCTGCGTACGGCGCCACTATGGTCGGTCTGGCCACTCGCGCCTAGCGTCGCAGCGCCATAGGTTTGTGTTCAAGAGGGACGGGCAGGAAGACGAGAGAGTGGACGTGCGTGGTAACACAGCGTGGAGGCATTGTGGCTGCTGTGAGAGGCGGGCACGGAGTAGGTGGTGGAGCACGTGGTGCGAGCAATGGAGGCGATGAGTAACGTGCTCGCCTTGATGCCCGCACACCCTTTCGCCCAGTTTCTCCCCTCTCTTCTCCTGGAATGCACCTCCACCCCGTGCCTTAGTCTTCCATGCGATGCACTCTCAACCAACCCACCCCATACCCCCGAACCCACTATCCACCGCTTGTGCGCAGCTATTTAACTTCGCCAACACCTACCGCAAGTCGTACGTGAGCAGCATTCCGTCAGCCGCCGCCTTCTACAACTCCTACTCCGGATTCAATGTGAGCCGCCCCTCACCCGCACGCGCCACCTCTGCCCATTGCCATGTGCGTCACGCCACTCGATTGGGGGTGGTTGTGCGCTCCATGCCGTCTCACAACTCCCCGCACTACTTGCAAAACTCCATTGCTCGCGCGCTCGATTGCCCCTCCCCCTTCTCGCCGCAGGACGAGCTGCTGTGGGCGGCGGCGTGGCTGCAGCGCGCGACGGGCGAGGCGCAGTACCTGGCGTTCGTGAAGAAGAACAACGAGACACTGCAGGGCGCCACCACCAGCATGAACGCCTTCTCCTGGGACAACAAGTTTGCCGGCGCGCAGATCCTGCTCTCCAAGGTACGCGCCGCGCGCATCACCAGCAGAAGCGCTCACTATCTGGCCGCGTCATCCGCGTGAACCTGTCGCCTCACCCGCCTTCGCTGCTCCACTTCCCGCTTGCGCCTCCTCCCCCCTGGTGTGCCCGTGTGTTGTTGCGGTGCAGGTGTTTTTCAAGGCGCGCGACCCCGGGCTGTACGGCTACCAGCTGCGCGCCAATGACTTCGTGTGCGCTACCGTCGTGCGCGGCACCCGCACGCCAGGTGAGCCGCACGCCCAGCGCGCCACGGACAGCGGTACGCAGCCTGCCTTTGCGCTCGCCCATGTACTTCCGCCGCTCCTCCGCGCAGATCAGCGCTCACGTCCTCGCTGCCACGCTTTCGCGCTCCTCTCCCATCCTAGCCACCCTCTCTCTCTTCCATGTTCAGCCCTTACTCCCCATTCCGTGTCCACTCTTCCCTCCCCGCCCTTACTCCCCATTCTCCCCCATCCCCTCCGCGTGGTATGCAGGCGGGCTGCTGTTCGTGCAGCCGTGGAGCAACCTGCAGTACGTGACGGCCGTGTCGCTGCTGATCGCCGTCTACAGCGACTACCTCGACCGCGCCAGCGTCGCGTCCGTGCAGTGCGACTCCACCGCCGTCACCCCCGCCGCCATGCGCAAGTTCGTCGCCAAACAGGTGCCGAGGGGAATAGTGAGTGCTGAGACAAAAGGGTGGGGGAAGAGGGCGCAGTCGGGGGACGGGGGTGAGAGAGAGTGCGAGGAGCAGAAGGCATGTGAGTAGAAAAGAGGGTCGAAATAAGCGACAGTGGGAGCGATGAAGGGATGAGACACAACTAGCGAGAGAGCGGTGCGTGCATTTCTGCGTGCCTATAGTCTTCATTTCCGCCTGCCCCTGTGCGCCGCGCAGATGAGCTACCTGCTGGGCGAGAACCCGCGCCGCATGAGCTACATGGTGGGGTACGGCGCGTCGTTCCCAATGCGCGTGCACCACCGCGGCGCGTCCATCGTGTCGATAAAGAAGGACCCGCGCCCCGTGGGGTGCGAGGAGGGCTTCAAGTGGTTCCACACGCAGGTGAGCGCGTTCGCCGTGATGATCGCCGGCACGTTGACACGACGGCAGCAGAATGCGAGGCGGCGGTCCATACCCTCGCCGGGGCGGACGACCGTGGTGATGCGGCGCAAGTATCCAGCGCCCTCACGGAGTCCTTGCTGTCATATCCTTCCCCCCACCCGGTCTTCTCCTTTCTGTGCGCCTGCCTTCTCATCTGCTGCTCACCCTCCCACACTCCATCTCTTTTTCCCAGCAAGTTGTACCCCCTCCCACCCCATGCCCTGCCCGCTCATTATCCCACCTACAACACCCGTCGTCCCGCGGCCTGCGCAGGCACCGAATGCGAACGTGCTGGTGGGCGCAGTGGTGGGCGGGCCGGACAACATGGACGCGTACAAGGACGTGCGCGACAACTACCAGCAGAGCGAGGTCTCCACCTACGTCAACAGCCCCCTCGTCGGCGCGCTCGCCCGCCTCCTCGCCGGCAACGCTCCCCTGCCGCCCAACCAGCAGACTGGAAAAGGCAACTGGGGCGGAGGCATGGGCAAGGGTGGGGGCAACGGTACAAGGAATGGAAGCAGCGGAAATAAAGGCGGGGGGCAAGGGGGTTCTGGCGGCGGGAGCAAGAGTGGCAACACGGGTGATAAGGGGGGTGGAGAGAAGAGTAGCAGTGGGAAGAAGCCTGATAAAGATGGGAAGAAGGGCGGTGAGGGCAGTGGGGACATGAAGTATAGGAATGGTACCAACAAGAGCAGAGGTGGCAGCAGCAAGTCTGGCAACAAGAATTCGGGCAGCAACAAGCCAGACGGGAGTAATTCGGGCAGCAAGAAGTCAGAGGAAAAACATTCGGGCAGCAATAAGTCGGGCGGCGACAAATTTGGCAGCAACAAGTTGGGCAGCAACAATTCTGGCAGCAATAAATCGGGTAGCAATAAATCGGGCAGTGACAATTCAGGCAGCAATAAGTCGGGCAGCAATAAGCCGGGCAGCAATAAGTCGGGCAGCGACAAATCAGGCAGCAATAAGTCGGACAGCCACGATTCTGGCAGCAATAAGTCAGGCAGCAGCAAATCCAGGAGCAATAAGTCGGGCAGTGGCAAATCTGGCAGCAACAAGTCAGGCGGCAACGACTCTGGACTCAAGCGAGCCGATTCCACAGGTGAGTGCACAAAACTGGCCGCAGAGACTCACCAGAAATGTTGGGGACGCCATGATCTGCCAGAGAGCTGGTATATGTTGTCGCAGCTTATTACAGCAGCAACGTTTGTGTCCACGTATTGCCTGCACTCTCCAACACATGCTGCATACACCTAGCACCAGCTCTCTTCACATGCTCCAACATGCATCTCACTGTGTTGTTCGTCTGACCGTCGCATTCTATACCCTCGCATGTCTGCTGCAGGCACACAAGGCCCATCCACGTCGTTCATTGCATCAGTGCGCGATGCAGAGTACACCCCAGATGGCCCCATCCCCATGCGCACCGCACAGCGTGCCAACATAGGCGTGAGCCCCTGGACGGGCGATAGTGGTGTAACTGGTGTAAGTGACGGTGGGATAAGGGCACAGCAGCCTAACGGACTGAACAGCATGGCAGCTGCAGGCAGTGGAGCGTCCCAGTGGCAGCTGTTGGTGACAACGGTGGTGACGGCGCAGTGGCAGGACGTGCAGGGGCGCAGCATGGCGCAGTACATGGTTTTGCTGCGCAACGAGGGCACCACAATGCTCGCCCATATCCGCCTCACGGCACAGGGCTTCCACCCCACAAGGTACGTCTGCTCATGCTGGACTGCATCACCCCAGCCAGCACACCCTGCACCCACCACACTCAAGGCAGAGCCCTTTCTCTCATGCTAGCATCTATTGGGCTCTTCCAATTTTTCCTGAGCCTTTTTTTCCCTTGGGCCTTGCACTTGTTTCTCTTGATCCTTGCAGTGCTTGGGGCCTCGTGCGAGCTGGAAATGACTACCGAGTTCTGGAAGGAGCTGGTGCGCTGGCTCCAGGCCAGACCAGCCGATTTGGGTATGTGCAGGAAGGAGAGGCGGCATCGTTCAAACAAGCCCTGCAAGAGGAGGCCTGACATGGTCCCCACGCCTTGCTGTTACAGGCCAGGAGTTCTCCCAAACACGGAGCTGCACTCGCGGTGGTGCACTCATACATACTTGCACACGTGTGTCAACACACACAAGTGCGTGCTGCTACACATGGCAGAGCGCTTTCCCCGCAGAGATGCTCTGCCCAGTGCAAGCAGTGAGTGAAAGAAACATTGCCAAAATTTGGCACCATATGTACCATCTCTTGGTGTTTGCTAACAGAATTTTCAGTCTTAAAGGGTTTAGGGTGTTCTTGCTATTGCAGTCGATAATCATTCTGTACAATAATACGGTACTGTGTCCCCTCGAATAGGAGAGCTGGTGCGCTTCTAATTTGTCAGGCAAAAATCCAGGGTGCGCTTTGTAATCGAGTATTTTCTATAAGCTTATGCGCTAAATATCGAAATCAGTAACATACCGTCATACCCCGGATATACCCCCATGGGGGGCACTAATAAAACGTGTTTTTTTTAGGGGGTGGGCTTATAATATAGTAATTTTATAAGCGCCGGGGCTTATACAATGACATATATGAAATCTAGTTGTTTTCACTTCAAAATGTTCATCTTGTCATTGCGATTTCAATCGAGTCAAGATCATAGTGGGTGTGAAGAAGAATCTCGCGTAAGTTAGCAAACTGCCAACACACACAGTCAGAATGAGTCATTTCGCCCCATGACAGCTCATTCTGACTGGACGCGCAGTCAAATGAGTCGCGCGAGGGTGGGGCAGTGAGTCGCGGGAGGGTGAAGGGTCGAAATTTTATCAAGTGAGGATGCAAATAGTGTGTTTCGCTACAGAGATTCCAGTACTTTTATAAGCGCCAGGCGCCAATTAAAAGCGCCAGGCGCTTATCCGCGGGTGGCGCTTATATCCGGGGTATGACGGTATTGAAGCCCACATAGGCTTTGCAACCGAATACGCTTCGTAACAGGTCCCCAGAAGTCAGAAATTTCTCTGATTTGCATGAAAACACTGAGAATTCAGAAAAAAAAAAATTTGTCAGCTCTATTAAAATCAGAGAAACTTTGTAATTTTCAGACTTATTCTAAACTTAACTCTGACGTTTCAGAGTTTTCCGGGAGTGTACTCTGATCATTCAAAGTACAAAAGCATACCGACTCTGATACAATGTACGGTACCTGGGCGCGGACACCCAGGATTAGAGGTACGGTACTAACTGTACCTGTCCTGTCAATCACGCGAAACATGGGACAACACTGTTGGGAACAATAAGTCTTAAAGCGCCTCTGTCGTGTCGGAACTCAGGACACAAGCGAAGCAGTCCAAATCGAAGCATCGCCAGTCAACCCTCGGAGGTTAGGGTAACCGCCTGGAGGTTACGCGAAGGTCAAAAGTCAGCGACCTTTGACTTGACAAATACAGCGCGACAACAAGGACACACAACTGACTCGACATTGAGCAGTTACCCGAGTCGCACTGTATCGAATCGCAACAACAAAACAGTTTAATTATATCTATTCGTATTCCTTGTACTCTTATATAAAGCCTTGTATTTGCTTGTTTTAATTAACTTACTTTGCCCTCACATACTAGCTGTAAGGAAATTCCCTTTTCCTTACTTCGCATCTCTGCTCAACGCGTACATCACTGTAGCACCTCAGTCAGCACCGTTACCACTCGCGACCATCGCATCATTCATCATCCTGCCATTTTCGCACATCGCATCCCGACCTCACGGCTCGGCTGGTAACCCGCGCTCCGGGCCTACGCTTCGACACGTTCCCAACCTCAGTCCCAGGCTCGTCGCGCGACCATTACCGTTACCACTGTAGTTTCGCTATATATTCTTCGCTCATACCTTAGCTCATTGTACTCTTGCTTCGATAGTGCAATTCTCGCTCGTTCACTCAATTGCACTCGTAACACTTGGTATTCAGAGCCTACGATCCCATCTCGGACCGCATCCACACCTTCACTTCCCCACTATCTCAATTTTTGGGGGGGGTAGACGTCTCTCAGCGATACATCACCACCGCTCGTAGTGCTCTCTCGCAAGCACGCACGGCCACGACCGAGGCTCTTGCTGAGCTTGCCCTACACCCCCGCCATGGCCGATTTCACGCTCGCCACATTGACGCAGGAGCAACTTGATCGTCTCGTGCGTCAACTGGAGGATTCGGCGCTTGAAATCGCGACCCTCACGGCGGAACGTGACTCCGCCCGTCAACAATCCACGATGAACGTACCAACGACATCCCACGCACCAACAAACGCATCTGCACGTTCGGATGAGCCGATCATCATCTCGTCCGGCACACCAACACAACACGACAGCACGGGACAACGCTCAGGCGCAGCCAGTGAGGGCGCCGCCCAGCCGATGCCTGGCATGGGAGGAAACAGGATCGCACCAAGCCCACGGGAGCCTCGAGAAGTCCGTCGGCATGTGGAATTTGCTGCGACAAGTGGCGAACAACCCAACATGGCACCAATGCCGCTCAAGCCGCAACGCCCGCCCTGCTTCGACCCAAGTCAACGCGGCGGTCCGACAGTTCAATCGTGGGTCTTCACGATGAACGTTTTCTTCGATGCCAATTACGTCGAGTCGGACGCCGCAAAGATCCGGTATGCGGTTTCACTGCTAAGAGGCCCCGCCATGGACTGGTGGCGAGTCATCGTGACGTCGCCACGCGCCTACAAGCCACCGTCGCACGAGGAAGGGCCCTCGGGTCCAGCTGTCACCTGGAGTTCGTTCTGCGAGACCGCCGAATACAGCACGTGGGATGCGTGGTGCGCAGGACTTCGGGCGCGTTTTGAGCCGATCGCGGCTTCAATTTCGGCGCGTCAGAAACTGCGCACTTGGCGCCAGCTCGGGTCAGTTCAAGACTATACCAGCGGTTTTCTCGCACTTTGCGAGCAGGTCGGCTACATGCACGAAGCGGAGCGGGTATACCGTTACGTCGGAGGGCTGAAGCCGGACATCTCGCACCAGATAATGCTGCGCGGACTCTCTAACTTCAACGAGATTCTCGCGCTCGCCGAGAAGATCGACATTCTACGCCGACCGAGACCGGGGTCCTATTACGGACATCGTCCTCGGGGACCGACCGAGCACGCCACTGTACACGCCGTCGCAACGAATGCAGCTGCCGCACCGTTTAAGGGGCGTTGCTTTGCTTGCAACAGGCCGGGCCATCGCAAGAGCGAATGCCCAGAGGAGCTGAGGCGCCGAGGAGCAGAGCAGGGGAGGGAGTCTTAGAGGCAGGGAAACGCCAGCAGTCAGTAGAAGTTGGGCCAACTACTGACGAGACTGCCTGCTCGCCCAACCACACCGACCCTCACCGAGTCACAGTACCGATTCATGCCATCGATCGGGCTCGGATGAATAAGGAGGGTACAGCGACGGATTGCCCGGTACTAATCTACGGGAAAATACAGGGAGCAGCAGTGAAGATTTTTATTGACGGAGGAGCAAGTCACAGCTTAGTTAATACCGCAACCGCACGGAAATTACAGTTAACACTCAACCGATGCTTACCTGAGATAGATGCACGCTTAGTCGACGGCACGCCACTGTCTATACGGGAAAAGGTTGAAAGAGTAAAGGTCCGCTGCGGAGGGAACTTCGGGTTTACACAGGAAATGCTCGCAACGACACTGGATGGGCACGACATTTTATTAGGACGTGATTGGCTGCGACGGTATAACCCACGAATTGACTGGACGACGGGTAGCTGCACAGTGCGAGCTAGTGGTAACTGGGTCGTCCTACCTCGCTGGCAGCCACCCGAGTCTTCGACGGTCCAGGTCAACGCCATCACGATGAAACGGGCTGTCGCTGCTGGAGCTGACGTGTACGTAGTGGATATCGCATTAGTGGAAAAAGAGGACCGGCCAAGTGATTTGCAGAAACTGTTGGCAGCCGTACCACCCGAACTACAGGCACTACTGAAACGGTTCTCGGGTATCTTTCCGGATGACTTACCGCAAGGGCTGCCACCTCAGCGGGCGCATGACCATAGGATCGAGTTAGAACCGGGGGCACAGCCAACTGTACAGCGCCAATTTCGACTGACACAGCCCGAGCTCGACGAGCTAAGGAAGCAGCTAGATTACCTGTTAGAGAAGCAGTTTATCCGACCGAGCTCGTCACCGTTCGCCGCACCGATACTGTTCACACCGAAAAAAGACGGGGGGTTTCGCATGTGCATCGACTACCGAGCACTTAACAGGGTAATAGTAAAATCACGATACCCCATCCCCCGCGCCGACGAACTGATCGACCAGCTGCGAACCGCACGAGTATTTTCGAAAATAGACTTACGGGGAGGTTACTATCAAATTCGGGTCGAACCATCGGACTGCGCCAAGACAGCATTTAGGACTAGGTACGGGTCATTCGAGTACACGGTGATGCCTTTCGGGCTGACCAACGCGCCTGCAACATTTCAGATGACCATGAACGAGGCGTTTAGGCCACTTTTCGATAAATGCGTCATAGTTTACCTCGACGACATCCTCGTTTACAGTCGGGACCAGCAGCAGCACTTAGTAGATCTCGAAGCAGTTTTTAAAATTTTAGAGGCACATCGGTTACTCACCAAGGGCTCCAAGTGCGAGTTTTTTCGGGACAGGCTAGAGTTTTTAGGTCACGTCATTTCGGAGGCTGGGGTTGAGATAGACCCTAAGAAGCTGGATACCGTAAAAGCGTGGCATCCCCCGACGAACATCACGGAACTACAGAGTTTTTTAGGGTTTGTTAATTACGTTCGTCGGTTCGTCCCCAACATGGCACGCTTAACAGCCCCGCTCACTGATTTACTGCGTAAGGGGGTCCCTTTTACGTGGGGGGAGAAAGAGCATGCTGCCTTCTCTACCCTGAAAAATGTTCTTTGTTCACAACCCGTCCTACGCATCGCTGACCCACACCGCCCCTTCGAAGTTGTTACAGACGCGAGTGACATCGCCATCGGAGCCGTACTGTTACAGGACTTCGGCAACGGCCTCCAACCCATCGCCTACG